AAAATGGATCGGCCAAATTAATATTTTCCGGAATATTAAATTCCGTATCCTGCATGTTAACAGCTGGTAACGATGACGTAATAGTCGGCAGCACGAAACATTGTAGTTTCGTACTGTAATGGCCGCTAAGCAATTCAAATTTTGTACGCTCAACTTTCTCAAGCAATTTTTCGTCTGATATATTTTGTTTTTGTAATTTCTACATAATATACGCATTGTACAAGAAAACTGGTGCTTTATTAAATAACTACGCATTAACGACGAAACATTTTGGACCTTCGGAGCCACATAAAGACCTGCTAAAACGCATCCAGGCAGATATTTGGACCAGGATTTGGAATATTTCACACCAACCGTCATACGCACTTGTGATCAGCTTGAACTTGCCAAGGAGGAGCTGAAGAATAGCCGCAAATTGGAAGATTACCGGTCTCGTACTTGATAACGCGCATAAAAGGTACGACCATAAGTCTTCACTGGTAACACACACTGGTCATAGACCCTTCTTTTCAGGCACTGGGGAATTTTGGCCGTGAGGATGTGCCTAAGCTTCCCGAATGCTGCCCATCCGAGTTGGATTCGTCGGTTGACCTCTTTCTCGAAGTTGGATTTGCCCAACTGGACTGTTTGTCCTAGGTAGACGTAATGATCGACAACTTCGAGAATCGCATTCCCAACAGATACTGGTGCTGGAGTAACATGGACATTGAACATGACCTTGGTTTTATCCATGTTCATCCTTAAACCAACCCGTTGGGAAACTCTGCTGAGGTCATTGAGCATTGTGCCAAGGTCCTCCAGGGATTCTGCCATAACCACGATATCGTCTGCAAATCGAAGGTGAGTGATGTATTCGCCGTTGATGTTGATGCCGAGTTCGGTCCAATCCAGAAGCTTGAAGACGTCTTCCAATGCAGCGGTGAACACTTTCGGGGAAATTACGTCGCCCTGTCTGACACCCTTCTGCAATGGAATCGGCCTGGTACTTCTCTCCTGGATTCGGACTGACATAGTGGCGTTTCTATACAAACACTTCAACACTTCGATATATCGATAGTCAATTTGGCACCGCTGGAGGGACTGCAGCACCGCCCAAGTCTCGACCGAATCGAAGGCCTTCTCATAGTCCACATACGCTAGACACAGAGGCCGATTATACTCCTCAGTCTTCTGTATGATCTGACGCAGCGTATGTATGTGGTCCATGGTACTTAAGCCCTTTCGGAAACCGGCTTGTTCGGGAGGCTGAAAGTCGTCGAACCTGCGCGAAAGTCGATTTGTAATGACTCTCGAAAACAACTTATAGACGTGGCTCAAGAGCGAGATAGGTCGATAGATCTTCAAGCGGGTTTTATCGCCTTTCTTGAAGAACAATACCACCACGCTCCTGGTCCACCGCCTCTGGAACAATGCCCCCGAGGATGACAGAGTCGAATAGCTTCTGAAGGGCCACGAGGACCGGCTTACCGCCCGCCTTCAGAAGCTCCGTAGTGATTCCGTCATCACCCGGTGCTTTACTGTTTTTAAGCTGCTTGAGAGCCATTCTGATCTCGTACAGGCTGACATCCGGGATGTCCTCGGTATAGTGTCGGGTTAGCTTGGATCGTGGATCTTGGACCAAGCCGACAACAGAAGTTTGGGATGTTTTATACAACTGTCCATAGAACAGCTCGACCTCGCTCAAGATCTCATCTTTGGAAGAAATGACTGTCGTTGTCGGTCTTCAGTCTGGTCAACTGACTCTGCCCAACAGACAGATCTTTTGCGAACACTTTGGAGCCTTGGTTCCGCTCTATCGCCTCTTTAATACGCTTGGTATTGTAGAGTCGAATATCGCGTCGCACAGACTTCGAGATCTGTCTATTTAGCTGCCTCATCTTAGACCAGGAGGCTGGAGACTGCACCATCATTTCCCTCCTCCGCTCCATGAGCTCAAGAGTGTGGTCAGAGAGTTTTCCGGTTCTAGGAGCACGGCGGGTCCTGAAAAACAACCCAACCGTGTGTACAGTTTCCACAAACTTGTTGTTCATATCGTTCGCCGTTTCGCACTCGTCTAGGTATTGGAAGCGATTTTGGAGTTCGAGTCGAAAGCTCTCGGGGTTTTCGTACTCGGCAGGTGTGGGACGTAGAGTAGACTTCATCAGTCGGGACCGCTCGGCTTTGACACGAATATTCAATGTGCCTCGTAACATTCGGTGATCGCTCCCGGTTTTCACCCTGTTGATCACTGAGACATCATTGAATATTTGCCGTTTGTCTGACAAGATAAAGTCTATCTCGTTCCGTGTCGAACAACAACTGACAACCCTACAATGTCCCACCGAATCTTGCTCAATTCCTCTTCCAGCTCGGCAATCCTCTCGTCAGTCCTGAGCGTGCGAATGTTGTGTGTTACCAGGGCCAGAGTCTGTTTTATTTGGTGGCCGGATCTCGACCGGAGATTCTTCGCACCCCGTACCCCGCCGTTACCAGGCCCGCCACCGTGAGCCGGAATAGCGGGGTCGCCGTGACTAGGGGCCGTTGTGTTTATGCCTTTTTTCATTTGGGGGGTTATTGCCATAATCATAATCATAAATAAATAACACTATTTGTATTTATACTGTATGACACAGCAATCAAAATGCAGGTAAACAATTAATGTATATTTAATAATTATGTAATGAAAAGTGACTTCATGAATCACCTCTGAAGTCATTTTTCAATTTGACGACTCTGTAAATAATAAAACAGGGAGAAAAAAACAGCCCTTGCTGAGTTTCTTGCCGGTTCTTCTCAGTACAAGGTCTCCCGCCGTAGATTTACGAACCGATGGCGTAGCTTCTAGACATTCATATGTGCTTGTAACAGCCTAAACTGAATAAATGATTTTGATTATGATTATGATTATGAATCGCCACGCTTGGCAGGCGGGTTGGCGATCGCAGTAGATGTAATGTTACTCAGGAGAACGCTGCTGCCCGTTCTCCTGGCGATCCCTTAGTCGCCTTTTACGACACCCCCTGGAAGAGATGGAGAGGTGCAATATTCTATGCCGGCACCCCTGGGCCAGACGAAGACTTCAACGTCTCTGAATTGTATGTTGTATAACTCTTGCCGTCGGCAAGCACCCATTATACCAAAAATTAGTGCAATCTGTAACAACTCACATATACTCATATATTACGGTAAATTAACTCAATATTAACAAAAAAAAAATGTACATGGTTAACTGATAAACAACTAAAATACCTTTGTGAAGAGATATAATGTGTCTGGGGCTTCATTTAAGAACTTATTTATCTGCTCTGCTGTAAAAGTCTTGGATTTTTTCCCATTTTGTTTTCAGTTTTAGAATCTTTGTATTATAGTATCAGAGTATATAAAAATATTTTTGAAAATTCCGGTTTGTACGGAACCCTCGGTGCGCGAGTCCGACTCGCACTTGGCCGGGTTTTTTATTCATCATATATATTTGTCATTAGTCTGTTAGTCTCTTCTGATTCGTGAAAAAGTCTGTCAGTATGTCGTGGCGTGACTGCGAGGCTTCCCAAAGGCAATGGTAAAGAATTACATACGAAACTCAATCCAGCTACTTTCAAAATCTGTATTAATTTATTCAAGTACTTTTTTCCGATGCTTATTTATATGTTATATATTATGTTTCCATAGTATTTAATACACCCGTGTGAAGCCGGGACGGGCTGCTAGTTAATAATAATTTCACTTTTGAGAACGACCGCGAGCTGAGAGTCATTTAAGAAATAGGTCTTTGAAAAAACTATTGCTGTCGCGCATTGAAAAATACCGTGCGATAGGAAAAACCAGCAGCCAACGCTGAAAATTGCGAAAAAATGCAAAATTTGAGGTTTGGCTCACGACGAGTTCCTTTTCGAATATTAGAAATATGTAAAAGAAATTTCACCCATAAATTAATAAGTAGTTATACTAGGCCTCTATGTTTTACTTTTCTTGCAAATGCTTATTGAATCTCCACACTAGACGTCTGTAGTGGTGGTAAAAAATTGTTTTGTTTTTGGAATTATCGAGGGCTTCTAGTTGCTTTGACACAAGTTTTTGAAAAAAGGAAGACATAGGGGCATAGAATGTCGTAAAAATATATTTTATGTATGAAAATAATTTCTTTACTGATAAAAATCAAGGAGGAATCGAGAACGTTTGTATGGAAAAAACATTGCCCGCCTCCCTTCTTAAAATTGTTTATATTTAATATATTAAATATCAAAAGCGCCTCGCGCCGCGTACTTAAAAGGTGGATTGTGAAATGAGGAAAAATCTGTTCGAGTCCCTATCTTACTTGGAACAGATTTTTCCATAGAGTTGTAAGGAACTCTAGGGAAAAATCTGTTCCAAGTAAGGAAATAGAGAAGAAGATGAATAGTTATAGTAATATAGCGCCATGATCACGGAATAACTTACTCCGTGATCATGGCGCTTGCAACAGTGCCGAAATATCGGAAACTCGCTAAAAACAAGGTACATGGTAACAATCCCGTAAATAACTTATATTACTAAAATGTTACTGACCATGAAAGTTTAAAACAATAAGATGAATAGTATGATTTAGTAGTGGGTGGTTAGAGAGGTTTAAGTACTGGATACCACTGAATAAAAATCTGTATACGATTTCATAATATTGAAATTTTTTAATCTATTTTAGTTAAATCTAACGAAAATTTTACTAGAAAAAAAACCACGTGGACCAGCTATTGTGGATTATGCTATCGCGGCCCTCAGGGCCGAGTCGAATTTTCTCTAACATTTCTTAGGCTGCAAGGCAGCGCCATTTCTTCGCATTTTAGTTAACCCACAATGTCAAATGAATACCTTTACAAGTAATAAACATTTGTAAGAAGAAAAAGCAATTATATTTTTTATTGTAAAGTATTTATTTATTCTGCATAGCAAAGCTGGGACGAGATTTCAGTGTTTTCTACGATTTTTATTTATAATTATGTAGTTCATTGTGAGAAGAATCTTTTATTGTCCTTTTTTATCTGTAGGGGTACCTGAAAGCCTTGGGGATGGCGCGCACAGCGGAAGTGAAGAGAGACGCTCGTATTGGCGAGGCTGAAGCCCAAGCGGAAGCGAAAATCAAGGAGGCGATGGCTGAAGAGCAACGCATGGCGGCACGATTCCTCAACGACACCGAAATAGCGAAGGCTCAAAGAGACTTCGAGCTCAAGAAGGCCGCATACGACGTAGAAGTACAAACGAAAAAGGTAGCTATCCTATTTCTACTAATATTATAAGCACTAAGCTACTAGTTGCCGCAAGTAAGCCACTAGCGGCTTAACTTTTTTTAACTTCGTTGTGGCTGCGTCTAGTGGCTTGACCAAGCCAGTAGTGAAAACATTAAATGACTCAATGTGCGCTAGCTCTAAATGTGAAAGTTTCTAAGTGTGTGTTGTATATCCTACTTCATATTATAAATGCGAAAGTTTGTATATGTATGTTACTCAGTCATGCAAAAACAGCTGAATGGATTTGGCTGGAATTTGGCACACAGTCATTATATAGTTTATTATCTAGATTGAGACATAAAATACTTTTTATGCCGAAAGTATGTGTATTCCTGAGGGATTCTCAAAAAAATAATATTGATGCGGACGAAGTCGCGGGCGGAATAGACATGGATTAGACCCTCCCTGGAGACGGTTATAGGCTACTTTACTGTACGCGACTTTATAATTTTAAATTACTTGAATGGGGTGAAATAGCGTGACCTATTGCGAAATCTTCTTAACTTCGCGATAGCAAAATAAACGTGCTAGCCTTACCTTCATGAACTCCTTTCTGAATAGGGGCCAGTTACCGTAGCAATTTACATTATATCACGTTTTTTATCGCGTCTTACTGTCAATCTCCATAGTAATTTGACATTTGAGCTTGCTAAAACCAAGCTATATATCATATCGCAATACCGCCATTTTTGTAGATACAATAAATCATTTAACTGAATCTGCTTACCATTACTTGTCAAAAGCATGATAAGGTATATTTTATTTTCTACCTAATTTTACTTTCATATTTTTAATTACTATTTTTTTATACTGTAATTTTAGTTTTCATATTCAAATGTGTTGACATTTTAAGCTGTAATTCTGTATTGTTATATAAATAAATAAATTGAATTGAATTGAATCCTTCGAGACAAAGGTACAAAGGCAGCATATTATGTATAAATTCAAAATATATTTCTATAAATAAAACTGGTTTTTACGGGTTAGATGTGCTAAATTTATTTATTTATTGACGTTCTGAATATTCTGACAACGCAGACCTGAAAAAGCTGCGAACCGTCAATTAATAAATAAATTTAGTACATCTAGCCCGTAAAAACTAGTTTTATTTAATGAGTGATGTGCGTGAAACCTAAGAAACAAATATATATTTGTATATTAAAGATATCATTTTCATTTAGGCCGAAGCCGAGATGGCATACGAATTGCAAGCGGCGAAGACGAAGCAGCGCATAAAGGAAGAACAGATGCAGATAGCGGTCGTGGAGAGGACACAGGAGATCGCCGTACAGAAGTGGGAGGTGCAGCGACGTGAGAAGGAACTAGATTCTACCATACGCAGGTACAGTACGATACGACCATGAAACAGCGTTATTAGGAGGAGCAGATGCAGATAGCTATATATATAGATAGGAGCTGCAGCGGCGCGAGAGGAACTAGATTCCACCATACACAGGTACAGCGCGACATTAACTCGAAGCAGCGTATATAGGAGGTACAAATGCAGATGCAGATAGCTATATATATAGATAGGAGCTGCAGCGGCGCGAGAGGAACTAGATTCCACCATACACAGGTACAGTGCGACATTAACTCGAAGCAGCGTATATAGGAGGTACAAATGCAGATAGCTATATAGATAGATACAGAGACGTGACATTTTAAAAATGAAAGTATTTGAAATGCAAAATAGAAAATACCTATTTCCATTTTTTATTTAAATACTTTTTTTAGAAAAGCATTTTCTATTTCATTTGAAATAGTTTTAAGGAAATGTTTTGTATTTGCAAAATGCCAAATACTTTTTAACCGACTTTAGAAAGGAGGCGGTTTTAAAATTTATATTTTTTTTATGAATATACACCGATTACGCTAAGATATCTCCGATGCAGAATAGTTGCTTTAGTCCCATACAAATTTAATTTGATTAATTCTGCGCAGTAGTTTTTATTTTATGGTCGTTTTTGTAAACGCGGTGTAATTATTCCGATTCTTAATTTAGATGTACACCGATTACGTAAAGGTTTCTAATCTGCATTGAATTATCATACAGCCTTGTCTCAAGCTTGAACAGAAAAATAAAATCTATTATTTTAGGTTTTCAATATGTCAAATTATGACCAAATATGTCATAGTTTTTAGAAATTTGGAATAAATATTGTTTATTTCGATTAACTTACACAAATATTTTTTTGTGTACATTTATTTATTTATTGTTCAATTATTATTGTAAAACGAAACATATTCCTTTTGAAACAGCGGTGAAATAAATTTTTATACTTTTAAATATTTGATTATTTTACGAAAGTTTTATAAGAATAATATTGTAATGTTACGGGCTAGTGCGGAATATATTAAGGGCAGTTTCTTAGCCATGTCCTTTTGCTTATATTGTTAACAGACCGGCTGAAGCCGAGAAGTACAGGCTTGAGAAGTTGGCGGAGGCTCACAGACTGAAAACAGTATTGGAAGCAGAAGCGGAGGCGGAAGCGGTCAAAGTGCGGGGAGAGGTAAGTTTTTAGCTTTAATTTGACGTCTGTATTTGCCAAAATTTTAAACTGGCGAATACCTTTACCTACTACACACTTTCGCATTTATAATATTTTATAAATGCCAAGTGTGTCTTTCCGTTTGTCTGTTAGGTACCTCTTTACGCTTAAATCACTGAACCAATTTATACGAAATTTGGTAAAGATATAGTTTGGGAAATAACAGTTTCTATCCCAGAAGTTATCCTTTATGGGGGTTGATTAGAGGGGTGCAAGTTTGTTTTTAAAACCAGACGAAGAGATATTATAAAAGGTTTTATAATTCAAAAATTACGCAATATTCATTGTGTCGAATGATATCTAATCACTGGACATTGTTAAAGGCCGAAGCGTTCGCCATCAAAGCGAAAGCAGTTGCGGATGCCGAGCAGATGTCCAAGAAGGCTGAAGCGTGGAAGGAATACGGCTCAGCGGCGATGGTCGATATGATGCTTGACACATTGCCCAAGGTAAGGACTATACAGTTTCGAGAACTTAACATTAGTCCAGGCAACGAAAAGGTATAGAGGGAAATGCTTAGAACACAATTTTTGACTTCGTAACTTTGTTAGGACTAGTTAGGAGGTAAACATATCACAAGTCCCCGCTCGTAGCCCTTAAGCCGGGGGGAAGGGGGGGGGGGGGGCTATTGAAGGTCCCATTTTTAGGTTTTTCGCATATATCTCGGAAACTGTGCATCCTAGCGACATGAGACTTTAACCAAAGTGAAAGCTGATTAAATTTGCTACAAGTCTCATTCAGTCAAGTTTTTTGATATCTTTTATAGTTTTCGAGATATCCGCTCTTAAGAGCCCTTTCACATTTTTTGCAATAAATCGCAATTTTTGAGCGCCTCGTTTGCCCCCTTAGAAGAGGTTTTGACTATTTCCAATAGAAGTAAACAGTAGATTTATTCTTCCTATTGAAAATTAATGTAGAATATTTGCAAATACCATTTTCATTTTTTTGTACTGATCGTTCTACCGCAGCTAGTTTGCGGAAAAAACGATAATATGCATAACTTAAAACGCCTAAATCTCACAATAAAGTTGAATAAATTAGATCAAATTAATTACTATAACATCAGAAATATGTTTTTGTTGCAACATAATGTATTAGAATCTTGATTTTCCATCTCATTAATTATTAAAAAAACATCTAACCTCCGTGAGTTTCCCCAAAAAATAACGCAGGTTTACCTCGTATTTTGATATTGAATTAAATAGAATTACTATAAAAAACTTTCATAAAACTAATCTACAATCATTAAACTATTGAAATATGTTTACATTTTTATAATAAGTTCATTAATTATTATTTTATAAGACTGAATATCACCCGTAAAATGCAATATATACTAGTGCAAATCTAGGCGCCGTTCAGTACGGCGCCAGCGCCTTTGGAGGTCTAACCTATGTCGCTTTGTACCGCACGCGTCCCGAGCGATGCTACAAGTGCATTCATCGTAAAACTGGCTGGATATACTACGACCGCATAACTTTAATCGTTGACTGTATGTAAGTTTCCACAACCCCGTATTAATTTTTATTATTATAAGTACCTCCCTAGTTATTAATTATCGTTGCTTCAACTAATATTTTTGTTATTAGCTTTTACAATGGGGCGTAAAATTCCTGCTTACCATTGTGTCAAAAATGAAAACGAAAGAATGATGCAGCCATAAAGAAAGCTTGTGAAGCAAGGTGAATATGCTTATAACATTTCGCTTTATTTTTGAAGCCTTTAAAATGCCATTAATTGATAAAAAAACATGTTATGAAAGTTATTCATCATTAAATTTCCTACAAATTTTGCGTAAATCTTTTTTTTACTTAATAAATACTTTTAAAGTTATGAGTCGTTAACGTAACAATAACGCAGTGTATATCAGAGTTTTTTATATGTGCAATTGATTCTCATCACTAATATTATTTATAATATTTATATTTTTTTCCCTATTTTTTTTATTACATTTTTTTATAATTAATTGATAACAATCCAACAGAAATCATCATCAGCTTCAATTTGTGTGAAAGTAAGTGAATTTTTCGGATACTTCTGTAATTTCATTTCAATGCCCGTTTTTGCGCACATTAACGACTATTAACTTCAAAAGTATTTATTTAATAAAAAAATATATACAAAACTTGTAGGAAATTTAATCACGGATAACTTGTATACGACGTTTTTTATCAATTAATGACATTTTTAAGGTTTTATAAAGGAAAAACTACAAACATGTTCAAATAAACAACAACAATTGAAAAACGGTAAGAGTTACAATAAAAAGTTTGAGAGAAAGAAGTTAGAGAATTTAGTAATAAACAAAAAAACACTACATTTTTTCCGTACAGTCAATAATTTAGGAGATATAGCTATAAACGCGTTTTCCAATAAAGCGGCCAGTTGTGACCACCCTACATTCCCCGATTTAAACTTAAGCTTCTTACAATCTACCCTTATGTCTGTAAAAAAAAGCTAGAGTATGGTAAAATGTTGCATTTCGATCAAGTATAACAAGTATAAGCTCGTGGGCGGCCAAAGTACATATTGGCCCAACATAATAATATATTTAGAATAGAAATTCACAGTTCTATTTATTTTAGATGGAAACATAATTTTAATAAAATTAGTTCAATGGATTCGATTGCAACGGAAACTGTTAGTTTTTCATATTGTTATTTGAAGTAGACAATGAAAAAAGAAATTAAATTTCCAACAATAAATTTATTGTTATTTAAATTTATAATAATAAATGAATTTATATAGGAAAAAAATGCTGTTGGATTGGAAATCGAAGCCGAGGAACAAAGGGAAGCGTCAAACTCAAATTTAAATATTTTATCTGTTTTATACTGACCTAATGGGTATTTCACTACTACACTAGGTACATAGTTTACAATGTTAGCAGTTTGGGTTTTCGTTTTAAACTCAAACTAATGGGATGCATTTCTAGAGCAAAAATGTTTATTTTTAATATTTTATATTAGACTTCTTTGCTCCATAAGTTCAATTGACAGTAACTTGCTGATTTACGTACCATATTATCTGTGTCTGGATTGGAAATGTATTTCCAGTATTGCCTATATCTATTTATTAAATGAACTATGAAGGCAAAGACAAAACTACACTTAGTAAAATATTATTTCTCATTCCCACTCGAAAAAGGGATTTCATTCAGCGATAACAGTGAAAAAACTTTTCATTTAATTAATGAGTGAATAAAAAAAAATTTGAACAAACAGAAGTTATGCAAAGCATACATATAAAGTTACAATAATTAGTAATAATCATAATTAATCTTTATTGTCATTTCCAAAACTCAACCAATGGGTACTATAAATATATTATTTATTTTCTCACCATAGTAAAAAAACTTAATCCTTGTATCCTTTGCTCCACTCAGGATTCCTATCTAGAATCGTTCGTTGCTACAGTAGGGATCCATCTTAGCACTTCAAATTAACTTTATTTTATAATGGCATTTATTGTATAATCAATAATTGCATATTAAAGTATCGATTTGGTAAAGCGCGCTATACTGAACATCGCCGCGTCGATGTCTCGCTCGTGCGACTCGGACACGCTCGCGGCCGTATTTACCTAAACAAGAGAGGCGCAATTTTATAAAAGGGCTCTTAAAAGTCTGTAATTATGGAAAAAAAAATTGCTTCACATTTTTGCTCTATTTGACCGGATAACTCTTCAACAATGCCGGCCGTAGGATTGTTGGTTCCACCAGTGAGCAGCATGCAGATTTCGGACAAGCCCGCCAAAACAAGGATGGAGCTGACATTGCCAAGCTCACCGATTGGTTTGAGAAATTTCCTCCCTTCCCAGAGACCAGAGACATTATCAAGTCACCAGAAATCCAGAAAGCAGCAGCGGTCTTTTCACACCCTTTCTTCACCACCGCTCAAGTATAAAAGGCAGGTGAAACCTGCATCTTAAGGTGGTATGGAGCTCCAGCGAATGAGATTTCCCTCAATGCCTACAGGTACAAGTCATTCTTGAAATCAGTGGCCACCATCAAGCCTTATATCTCTTGTCTTCCTCCCACCGAGGGAGCAGTAAAACAGCATTCCCAGGAAGTGGTGTCAAATTTTTTTTTCCATAATTACAGACTTTCAAGAGCGGATATCTCGAAAACTATAAAAGATATCAAAAAACTTGACTGAATAAGACTACAAGTCTTATTCAGTCAGCAAATCAGCAAATTTAATCAGCTTTCACTTTTGTCAAAGTCTCATGTCGCTAGGATGCATAGTTTCCGAGATATATGCGAAAACAATCCCCCCCTTCCCCCCGGCTTAAGGGCTACGGGCGGGGACTTTTGATATGTTTACCTCCTAACTAGTCCTAACAAAGTTACGAAGTCAAAAATTGTGTTCCAAGCATTTCTCTCTATACCTGTTTTTGAGCATTCGTTGCCTGGACTACATGCCGTAAGTACTCCTCGTACTTACGGCATGTTAGGTTTTCGAAATACACGACGTAAATTGAAACGACGTAAGTCGAGACATATTTTTTCATATGTTTACATGTAAAACTCAAGGGTTGACCTAACGACAAGTGAATTCTCCTATGCCGGAAATCGAAACAATTGACGTATGCTTGAGGAATAGTGTCAAAACATTCTTCGACGTGACTTGAAACGAGCGACGTAAGTCGAGGAATGCCTATATACTGTTACTTCATAAAAAAATACTTGGCTTCTGAAACGTGCTTTTTGTGCGAAGGTAATTAAAATGACGCTAATATGTATTAGCATTTTAATACTCGTGCCAAATGCGTTATATTAGAAAGGAATGTTAAGTCCATTGTAATAGTGTATGAGATTCTATCGCGCGTTGAAATACCGCTTATCTGAATGTTATCCGTGTGCTTAGTCCTTTTCCTTTTCAGATTATGGGGTTTTAACTAGATTGAAAAAGTGCTAGTTAAACCTGGCCTAAGACTGATGCTGTCATTTTTGTTTGCTAAAAAGAAGACAGAGACATTAGGTTTAAACCAAAACTAACTTTAGTCCGCATTACGGGATAAGGGGGTTTATATTATGGGGCTTTGACGACCTCCGCGGCCGAGTGTTTTGTTCCAAGGTATCACCTATTCGACAGATCCCGGGTTTCGAATCCCGGTGGGGCAGCTGTTTGTGTGATGATGGCGAGCATTTGTACTCCAGTCATGGATGTTTAATATGTATTTCTATACAAATATACTTATATATGTATCAGTATTATGTATTCTATCCGTTACCCTAGTATCCCATAACACAATCCTACAGTGCTTACTTTGGGGCTGTTTGGTGTGTGTTGGAAATATTTATTTACTTTGTTTGGTACAGGTGGCAGCAGAGGTTGCGGCGCCGCTGTCTCAAGCGCGCAAGGTGACAATGGTGTCGTGCGGCGGCGGGGAGGTGGGTGCAGCCAAACTCACCGGCGAGGTGCTCAGCATCGTGCAATGCATCCCCGACCTGGTGAAGGGAGTCACCGGGGTAGACATCTCCAAGGTAAGCCCGTTACTGTAAAGTTCCTATGGGGACTTTATATGAGAGGACTTTTATGTATTTTAAGTAATAAAAAACATGGTTGCCTATAAAGTTGGCTCACGTACGATAATTTAACATGATAACTTGTCTTTTGCCGTTTTCTTTTGGGGTAGTTTTGTGAGGCTTTTTGTTCAGGTTCGTTTGAGCCCAAGCACGCCTTTGTAGCTCTGGGGGGGCCCGAGTTAGACTCCACGGGAGTGAGGTACTCTTTGAAGTGGGGGGGGGGGGGACTGTCTGGTCGGCAACAAAGATTGTCATATGGCGGCGCCGCTGTCTGGTCGGCAAAATAATGATTGTCATAGCGACGCAGCTGTCTGGTTGGCAACAATGATTGTCATAGCGCCGCCGCTGTCTGGTCAGCGACAATGATTTTCATTGCGGCGCCGCCGCTAGTAATAATCACTGAGCTATGTAGAGATCCGCTACTGCTTTATTATAACGACACTAAGATGTTCTAAAAGCATCGATGGATATGCAATTTACCCTTTAGTTACACAGTGTAAATGTCAAAAAAGTTAGCGAACAGGTTTGCTGCTGAAGGGCGTCACCGGGGGGTCGTCATCTCCAAGGTGAGCCCGTGACTGTGAAGTTCCTATGGGGACTTTAAAGAAGTGGACTGTATTTTAAGTAACAAAAAAATAATAAGCAGCGTGGAGTTAAAATTATAAAAGTCTGAACGCGGTTAGCCAACGTGCGAGGCTGTGCGTGGAGCGTAAAATAGTTCGATGTGACAATGACTGTCTCAGACGCGCGAGGTTACCAAGGTGTCTAAAAATCAGTGTGTTCAGCATCGTGCATCGCCTAACTGGTGAAAGGAGTCACTGGGGTCACCTCAGGAGCGGATTTACGTAGGAGCTTGGGGGGGGGGGGGGGGCTTGAGCCCCCGGCCCCGCACCGGAAAATAAAAAGGACTAAGCATCCCATGAAATACCGAAAAGAAGTTTGACCTGTACATGTATCCCTTCCTTCGACATTCTAAAATGCATGCAGATGATCTTCATATGACGACCTCCGTGGCCGAGTGGTTTGTACGCCGGGTTTCATGGTGTCACCGACTCGTGAGGTCCCGGGTTCGAATCCCGGTGGGGGCAAATGGCAAATGGTTGTGTGATAAATCCGAGTATTTGTACTCCAGTCATGGATGTTTCATATGTATTTCTATATAAATATACTTATATATATACATTAATGTATTCTATCCGTTACCCTAGTATCCCATAACACAAGCCTTTACAGTGCTTACTTTGGGGCTAGGCTAATTGGTGTAAATGTTGGAAATATTTATTTATTTATATCCTTAAATGGACCCCGCATCAATTTCAGCCCATGGCTCCACCATTTTTAAATCCGCTCCTGGGTCACCTTCGTAGTTGATGGTCTTTTGTTTTACAGCAGGTAGCGAATAGTTTTGAAAATGGAATTTTGAAATTTTAATTTTAATACCTCCCTTTTTCCCTTCGCGATCGCAGTCAGGTGTGAAAGTCTTTGTAATATGTAGCATTTCAAACAGGCGCGATCAGGACGTAATCTGCGTGCGGGCGCTCGCGACCATAGACATTAGACATCTTTGCCCTTCACCACCACTCGTGTCTGTGGTGACTTTAATTGCTAACCGTATGGATTTATCAAAAATATGAAATCGCCACAGTTTGATAATATCTAAAGATATTTAAGGTGGCGATTTCGTTCAGAAAAAGATCAACACATTATTTAGAAATAATAAAAAAGTACAATACCGAAAATGGACATCTTGTATTATTTATGTACACCCAACAACAACCATACACACGCAGCACATATATTATTATCGGTAGCATGAAACCTCGTTCGTTACGTCGCGCTAACTTAAGTTTCATATTTCCCTGTGATTGCATTTACACCAAGAATAATGACGTTAATGATACATCATAAGGACGTTTTCGGAATGATTTTATGTTTAATTTTACGTGAATATAATGCAATCATAATGCCATAATCTTAATTTGTTTAATGTAACGGAAATGCGATTGTTAATTAAAAAACTTTAAATACTCAAATTATATCACTTATTTAAAGAAGTTTAAAATTTATATTTATACATACCTTTGGCCTAAATCCTAACCAGAGTCGAAACATCGTTTTGCAGATAAATTTTCTATTTATTCAGTTGGCAAATTACCATAATAAAGCAAAACATACAACATACTTACCTGATATCTTGAAACAATAGATCACTCGATCATTGACTGTACATTGTTATGATATAAATATTTGCTCAGTAAATCAATTAAAATATAAGCTAATTAAAAAGAAATATGTTTAAGTGTTTCAATGTTTATTAAACTGTCTTTAATCACCACACAAACAGCAGCCATCTGATTTATGTGCCCGAAGGAAATGCATTTCTTATATATTAAACTAAGATAAAGTTTTTCGCGACATAAATGTATAAAACTAATAAAAAATTGCAAAGTGTAACATGCATCATAGTAAGTGTTTATAAAATAACCCGTTATATAAAAGCGTGTAGACAATTTATTAGTTAACTTGTTTTTGTTAATGTAGAATGCTATTATCTGTCTTTGTCGTAATATGTTCACCTCTTTGTTAGTATCATTTCACCTTTGACTTATTCAGAATCTGTGAATGTTTGCGCCGTCTGTTATCGACTCCTTCTAGAAATCTAGACTGATAGTGTAGGTACTGGATAAATACTGCACAATGCACGTGCCTTATGTATAGCTAAATAGATAGATAAAATTTAATTAACAGTAAAAATAGTAACTCTATATAATATTAGCGGGGTAATTGACCCATCAGATGCAGTACCTGTTCCGAGTGCTACTCCTATGTTAAAAGAAGGAAACCTTTTATTTCCTTTAGTTTGAGAGATAATATTATAACTGTCATTCTTATTAATAACTACCCGCCTTAACAACAATTTCAAATATGTATTGAGATTTACGCTTATGTAATGATATCTGTGAATATTTATGTAATTATATCACAGGCGGATTGTAGACTTCAACGTCTTATATTATGTCTAGCTGCGTTATAAAAAGGTAGCCGTAGTATATGTATTATGTCGGAGCGACTATAAGGCGGATTACATTACGGTTCAATAAAATATTATAATACTTTATTCTAATAAGATTATGGAAAGCTCTTTTAAAATGTCCAATAACTATTCCTTTCGTCAACATATATACTGCCATTATAGTTTTCTATCAACTATTTACAAAAACGTACAAGTAAGATGAATAACTATAATCGTATAGCTGTACCTGGTTAAAATCTAATTTTATTAACTTGCATGAATTTTATTATTATATTTATATATATTATTAGGTCTGTGTCAACGATTTCATTCTTGTGTCATATCTTATATTTTTGTGTACTGTTGTGATCGTTTATTTACTGTCGTGTTAGAACAAGATAAAAAGTACACAACAATGTACATACACTATTACGTTTCATGTTAACTAACTACTTATACGAGTGCAATCGTAATTTTGTGCACATTTAAATGCACCATTAGTACTTACTTGTCCTTAACAATCATCCAATATTTCAAATAACTGCTTATGTATTTCATTTGCTTAACCGAATTGACTTTCATAAACAAAGGTCATGTCAAACTTATGATTTAAAGCAATAAATTGTATAACCATTCAATAATCAGATAACCACTGGGGATTTCTGACTGATAATTAGTAATATATACTTACATATTACTAATTATCAGACAGAAATCTGTCTGTAATTTGGTATACAATTTATGTTGCGCAACTTATAAAATTTTGAGATAGAGTCTGTGCGGAAAGAGAATTTGATTTAGATTTGAGGGCTCAGTAGTGCTTTTCTACCTAAGTTTTACCCCTTTTAGACATGATGAAATACAAAAAACCGCAAGAAATCACAACAACAAACAAATCCGTTTCAATACAAAACTTCGACGGTAGACAGATGACTAGGTTGGATTGCCATATAAAAATCTTAATGTTAGTTCCGTTTTTCGCCACGCCCATTCTCTTTCCGCACAGACTCTAGTATTGTTTTTAATGGGATCTAAAGGCTCACGTGTATGTTAACTATGGCTTTTGCGTTGATGTCTTATACCTAAATGTTGTCACTACACTGGGCATGCATACTAACGCTTCGCTTGACTTCGTTTGCGGTGGTGGCGTATAGGCTGTGAGCGAACCGCCCCCAGTGCCGACACCCACCGCCCGCGGGGACTCCGGCAGGAAGGCACGATAACTGCCGACTAAAGTTAGGCCTTCCAATGACGTTCGTCGAGGTAAGCCACGCATTCACACACAACACAAGCACACACCAGTCATATAGAGATTTAAACTTGATGGCCGCAGCTGTGAAGTAAGCGCGAGTCGCGGCGCTGTATAAGAAATTTAGAATGATGTAGGCGCAAGCGGGATGTCACTAAACGAGCCTGTTCCCTTGGCACGAACCGTAGCTTAGTACGAGTTTGAGCTCATTGTAAATTGTTTCTATGTCCATTTTGGTGAAAAGTAACCAAATATACTTAAATTTTAAGAAGACGCAAATGATTTAATGATATAATTTAAACACTTTTTATTTGTATATAAATGAAAACAATAACATCATTACCCTATAGTACGAGAGCCCACGACCAAAACCATGTCTCATAGCAATACGGCAAAAACCCTATAAAATCGTTAGATTGTATGATTCTGAACCCGACTAGGTGTGTAGTAACGGTCGAAAGTGTAGCAACTGCGTGGGAGGCCATTTCTGCTGTGTCAAAAAAAAAGACAGTCGGTATTATAGCAGTGAAAATGTACATAGATTTTATAATTGTATTACGAAAAAGTTTGTTTTCAGACACTTTAAGTGTAGCATATACTCCCAAAAACGAAAATAACGTTTCGGAGTCGCCTGGCTGACGCCTCTGTTAAATGTTTTTTAAATTTACAGCCTTCATAGATATTCAAGAATCTCCCTTGTCTATTATATGTACTTTGACAGATGACAGATGTCATTACTTATTTCTTTTGTAAAAGTTACTCAAGTGTGCTTTAAATAAAACCAAAACTATCAAATCAATCAGTATTTAATTTCAACAGCCTCAGCGCTTGTTACGCTCCTGCCCCTTTCTTACTATTATACAGCTCACTCGCCAGCTGCTCCAAACGTTGGAACGACGCTCACTTAGTTGTCATACAGCGACAGCGATTGAATACGAGAATATTTTGTAACTTTGAATAAACCGTTTTTTTTTTCAACTTCATCCCAGTTTCCTTTTGTGCGATTTATTTCAGTCCTTCAACTTCAATGTTACGGTTTCGGGTAAATTCTTTGTTAATTATCATCTAATAAATTCAGGGTCGCAACGTATTCATTGGTTTGTAATAGAAAATTCAAGATGCCTCAATACGATTTTTAAATGATATCTGAGTATCGAAAAGTTGTCTGATAGAGAAGGTGCTACACTTAATTTGTCTGATATAAATTTTTTGCACATGTGGACAACTTATTTTATCAAGTCCAACAATTTTCAGACATATTGCTATGATACCGATCGGTAAAATTTGTTTACATTTTCAAAACGGACTCAAAATTTAATGCGTTCACATTTCCGTCTGAAAATTGTTTTGTTCGCATCAAATAACCAAAATTTACTAATAAAATAGATTTTCAGACGTATTGCTATGAGACATTTTTTTTGTCTCATTTTTAATTTTTTTAAGTGATTTTACGGGTTTGCGCTACACCACTAACGTCTGAAAAATATGTTTCCGGTATCTCAGAACTATCATTCAACTACAGTCTGCAAATCAGACATATTGCTATGATGCAGTTCGGTAAAATTATTTGACAATTCGGTCAGATCAAACGCTACGCGGAAAATGTCTGACATTGGTATTTTCGAGTTCAAGATAATCGTATCTATCGATTTGATGCGGTTTTGGCCGTATTGCTATGAGACAAAAATTTTGGTCGTGGGCTCTCGTACTACTAAGTACGAGTGCGAGCTCACAACTATCATAGTTTTCATAATTGTAAAACTCGTACTAAGGGTCAGTTATAGCGAGATTTAAACTTAATGGTCGATGCTGTGAAGTAAGCGCAAGTCGCGGCGCTGTATAAGATATTTAGAACGATGTAGGCGCAAGCGGGATGTCACTAAACGAGTCTGTCCCTTTAGCACGAACCATTATTAAATTCGTTTATTCAAAGTCGAATTTGAACTATTTTATACGTCAAATGTGTACTGATTTTTAGTTCAAGTTTCCATACACAATTTGGCAATGACATTAAGCACTCGCAAACTATTCGAATTCGATAATGGGTCGAGCTAAGGGTACTGAAACCTGTACCTCAGCACGAACTTTGACAGATCCGTATTCGTATCGCCAACGTCGAAGCCTGTATCGAAAATAGGCAGCGCCCCTACCGGACGTAAGAACAACCTGACTTATCCCATAGAAACTTACACATGGCGATACAAATACTTTCTCGCTAGTTGTTGTTCGTGCTTCAGAATATTGTGCTCGCTGCTAACTTCACAACCGCCATACAGTTTTAATGGCATTATTGCTATACGAAATATTTTGTTCCCATCACTAAAATTCAAAAACTCATTGGGTTGTTTGGAAGAAATCGCTGATAGCGGAAAGACCGCCCTTTGTTGCGACTCTTAATATTGTTTTTGCTTTGTTTTGTATTCCATTTGTGTTCTTTACGTTATTATTATGCAATGCTTTATTGCATAATATCTGGATTATCTGATCTTATTGTCGCATATATATTTCGATGAAAAGAGACCTTGGTTGGTTTATATAATAATGGAGTCGCAGGGCCTTTTTTGGTTATTCTGGTCATTATTATACCAGATTTTTACCATTTCGTGTAAGTAAGCCAAGGCAGTCTGGCATTGAAATTTCAATTTTATTTTCATACTTTTCGCTTGTATACGTATTCGTCGCATAAAACTAGGGAACATTGTGGCATAAAAAGAAAGTTGTGAACTAGTTCATTGTAAAATTTTAACCGTCTTAAATATTTTATTGAATTATGGCTTAATTACACTTGCTCGTTGCCCGTATTCGGGTGCACGAAAGGCAATACTCGAATTCGAGCACCCAATAAGAAGAAGCAATATTTACACTGGAACACGGGTTGGAAGACGGTGGCGGGTAACCAAAACGAAAACTAGCCGAATAAGGGCGTACTCGACTCGGTTCATTTACACTTAGTTGTTTACACTCGTATTCGAACTAACGACCAAGTGTAATTCTTAATAATATTCGTGTATTCATGCAGTACTTTTTGAGTTTATCCCGGACATACATACAGACAAACAGACAAAAAATCTAAAAACTATATTTTGGCTTCGGTATTGATTGTAGATCACACCCCTAGTATTCTTTTAAAAAAAATACAATGTACAGTTTTGACTTACCTACTTACCTACATTTAATTATATGTATAGATTAAATATGAAATAGCAATTGCATTTAAATTCTATTATTTACAGTAAAGCAAATGTTTGTATTTGTCAAATCGTACTTCTGTGTTAGTCACGGTTTATCATTTTCACTACCGTGACCCATCATTTTTCTGGTATCGCGAAACTTTCCGTGTCCCCTTTGTTTAGTCTCAATTTAAATGTTATATGTTCGTAATATGTAGCAAGCAATTCTCCCGCCAATAAATAAAATAAATGAATGACACACGCACATCCTTCCCACAAAAAAGTTAGGCGTTGAACACGAGTATATAAAAGCACGGCACGGTCTGTAATAAATAAGTCCTCTTAACAGTCGTACTCAGAGACTTTAATTATTTTTTACATGTGATTAAAGTTATTGCTGCCCCTTTCTTTCCTATAACAACAGAATTAATTTTAAATAACATTAAAATTTGACATCTCTATTGAGTTTGACAGTAACTTAAATTATAGAACCTGCAAAAAAGCAGGATTCCACTTCTAAAGATGCGAATGCTGCGATAGTATGGTCGCTTTTTTAATGCTATGCAGGGGCGTATGTATACGATTTGCACCCCCCCCTAGAATTAGTAAATCCCATCAAAATATAGGTCAGTAATGAGTGCCTTTCGACTCCCCTGATGTGTTAGGAATTGCTGCGATTATATTATGCCCCATCATTATGCTGTATGTATATATAATATACTTTCAGACACATCCATAGGCCCACTTAATGTTATAAGTTTGAACAGTCTGTAGCAAAAATATATGGTTAATAAATCACCTTCAAAACTGTGTAGATAATAACTTTTTGCTCAATGTAACATTTACATCTATCTAAAGTCCATCAAAACTTAAAATGCTAAGTGGGCCGATAGATTGGTCCGAAAGTGTATAATATCTTTATCTCCCTACACAGAAGCTTATGTGTTTTTTCTTTGTAATATTACCAACCAAATACTAACAACTCTATGCTTCATACTATAGTAGTATTATAGTATTTTTTTATTTTAAGTTCATTTTCATTTAGCACATCTTTAGTATTTGCTTAGTAATTTTTATTGCATCATACCAACTTGTCATCATAGTTTCTCTAATTAGTTAATATTTAATGTACACACAATTGTTCAAATGTGTGATTGTCTGTAATTTTTTTTACAATTGTTCACCATCTAGTTGTGCATCAAATCTAAACATCACATTCTATACGCAATAAAACATATTAAAAACATTGTACTGGGATAAGGCTGGGCTCATCTGTATGGTTTCCTGATTCTGTGTCAGAATTTAGGTTTGGAATCTGTTAGCTTAGAGCAGACGTTTAGTTTTTTCTATTAGGTAAATTTCGAACCAAACATTGGTTATTTTTACATAACAACAACATCCGCACTCCCGGCGTGCATCGGGGAGACTGCAGTCCTCAGAATGTATGTACGCCGAGCAGCGTTGCTATTGATACGGCAATTTGAGCTCATAATTTCAAATGATACGGCATACGGCAGGTTTGTCATTACCGTATAATAATATACCGCAATTAAATTTAGTTTGGATTAATTATATTAAAAATAATTGGCAGGAGCTGGATGCGAGTAGCCCAAGATCCATCTGAGTGGTGTGCATTTGGAGAGGCCTATGTCCAGCAGTGGACTAAGATAGGTTGTTGATGATGATGATGATGAAATTTAGTTTTAAATCGATTTACAAGAATAATTTTATTAGTTACGATTCCAACAAAACATCGTATAAAATTGTAGTTTAGGCACATCCCTAGCACAGAGAATGTATCCTTACTGGGAATCCACTTGCACTATAACTAATTTAGTTACTGAAACTGTAACTCTTTTGGCGAAGCAAGCCAGCAGAAATCAAGTAACTGTAGAACATTTTAGCCATCCCGTGACATGTGTGTGAAAAGCAAGGACAACTATTGTTGAAATAAGTACGACAGCGAAATAGTTGAGTCTATTAGAAATCTGTATGACGATGATATTAATGAGTAGGTTAATGTTTTATTTGGGTCCTTTATAATATCATCATCAGCCTTTTAATGTCCCCACTGCTGGGGTACTGGCCTTCCCTATGGATGGAATATAGAGATTGGGCCGTGACCCACCACGCGGGCCCAGTGCGGATTGGCGGGTGCTAACGACTGCAGATGCAACCGGGACCAACGGCTTAACGTGCCTTCCGAAGCACGGAGGAACTCAAGATAGAAGATTTTTGGTCACCCATCCAATGACCGACCACTGCGAAAGTTGCTTAACTTCAACGATCGCAGCCGAATGCGCTAACCACCTGCGCCATCGAGGTCCTCCTTTACTTTATAATATAGTTACTATTAATTAGTTACTAACTACCTGTATTTTAGTAAATAATATTAGATAATACGGCAATATCATGATTTTTATTTAAAAATTCGGCAATCTGGTGTATCGAATACGGCATCTCTATCAAACTTCATGGCAACACTGACGCCGGGTGACCGGTGCAGGAATATTGTCTGTTTTTTTGGTTATTTTTCCATTTTGAAATAATAAGAATAGTGTGCGCTACGTTGAACATTTTGTATGTAACGACGTGCTATCAGGTGTCCGAATCGGAATCCCAGACCAGAAAACTGAATCAGGAAACCGTGCAAATGCGCCCACCCTTATATGGTGAAAATAAAAGTAGCAAGTAACTTGTAATTATGTATATTCATCGGTGTGTGAATGACACATCCGTCGCTAACATTGTCATTTCTTTCTAAAACATCAATCTAAAACGCAAACGCTTCATAAAAATACATTGGGATTAAGGTAATATCAATGTCATCTTTTAGACGACACTGGATTAAATCTGAAAGGAAAGAGAATAACCCTTGCTGAGCTTGCCGATTCGGTTCAGTACAGGGTCTACCTACAGCTTTATTGCAATCGGTTCAGCGGATTCAGCGCAAAGAGGTTAAATACAGACAGAAACACTTTCGCATTAATAATATTTGTAGGGATTTAGTTTCCAAGCATATCGTTCGATTAATAATATAAAGTCAACATTATAAATTACGTTGATTAACCGGTTTAATGGAAACACGCTTTCTATGGTTTCATTGTTTTATATAATTTTTCTCACAAACCGGTTAATTACTCAGCGTGGCAAACGCACACGATTCGATTTGTTATGGCGCGCGCGAGTCATTGCATTCACAGAATAATGGCTTTAGTTCCAATTTTCATTGCCTTGATTGACTTACAATTTGAAACTGTACTTATAATGATTGCTTTAATCAGTGTTACTGCACCGATTCGTTGAGCTCTATGTAACTACATGTGGGTAACATGATACCTACTTGAACATAAAGGAGATTGCTCAGCTTCCATACATGTTTGGCCTAAAAACCAATAACCATGAAAAATTGTTTCCTAGATTCGAAATTATATATAAATTACCGTAGAAACGAATATTATCGACGGCCACTCCTGAGAACTTCTATAAACCGTATACACTGAATGATTTTGAGGTTATGTTTGCAAATAGGCACATAGGTATTAGAATAAAAAAAACCAAATAACTTATATAGGAAAATAGGGCAATCAAGCAATGTATTAGATTCAGGTATATAGAGCATGTAAAATAACAGATATGTGCATGTTTTTAAAAACACGTACAGAAACTGTGTGATGATTGTGAATGAGCCACAGATTAGAGAGAATTTTTAAACTCTCGTTAATCAAAGAAAGCTAAGAGCTGTAGGTTATACAGCCATATCTTCAGCAGCTTCATTATTTTTGTTATGTTTTTATTATAACCATATTTTAGATTTTTAGTGTATCACACCTTTTAATGTGTTTATTTAGGTGTTTGGCAAAAAATGTACGGCAATAGACTTTATGATGTCGCCTACCATCTATATTAATTGTCTTAGCACATTTGCATGTAGTAAAAATGATAATAAAGTTGTGGATATTAATACCACCCGTGTAATAAAAAAAAATATATTTTATCAATCTTTACAAAATAGATTTGTTTTGATGTTATATAAACAACCTCGATCAGTCTTTGTGAATGTTACTACACCCATAGCCAATAAAAATGATTCGTATGTTTTCCAAACCGTAAAAATAGAAGTCCTTTTTTAAAATTAATATATTATTTAAAGGTGGCCGTTAAAATCTAATGACTGTAAAATAAAGTATAAATTACGCCAAGAATTACTGTATATGTCAATATTTTATTTGCATTTAGGCCAATTTGACCAATCTCCTTTCTGGGCATCACCATTTCTAAATATGTATTTTTATTTATACGCTTTCTTAGGATTATGGTAACAAATATATTTAGTAGACAATCCGACACAAAAATAAACAAGTTTAAAATAAGCAATTAGCTAACGTCTTTTTTGGGTTCTTACCTATCAAAATTTATGTATTTAGTTTGTTATTAAAATTTTCTTTAATGTTAAAACTAATAACCCTATTTTTTCTTACAGCAAGCCCGCGCACTTTAAGCTGCATTCAACATACAAGTAACAAGAATTCGTAGCGTTTGTTACAAAAAGATTAGCTTACATTGTATTTAATGTTATTTCAGATTTACATTATGTACCTAATTGTGTAATGGATAATGCATAATTTTATTCTACCCAAGTGCCACTTTTGGAAAACTCAAAGGGAATACCAAAGCAAAAAAGTATATGATCTTTATTTTAATAAAATTAAATAATAATAATCAATTGTTATGTCGAAATGTCATGCAATCTCAAAATATATTTTCTTACAATGCAAAGCCAAGGGTCAGTCTGACAATGACGCACCTTCCTGTACTTACATGACGATTTGTCGAGTTTTGCATTAGAAAGTTTGAGCGTTTATTGTCTTTATAATAAATCTTAAATCAATAAATACATTTATCTTCTTTTTCTTTCTTTTAAGAATTCGAGAAGAGACAAAGTTGACTAAAGTTTACCACACCTGGATACGAAACTCCTAAAAAGCTTTGTAATGATCCATCTTAATAAATCGCCTTGTAAGTATATATTTAGTATCGAACTTACAGCTACTTTACTATTAAAAATCTTTACTGGCATTCATGTATTATTGAAGTCGTATAAAAAAATTGCTACTGTCGTAAAATGATGTAAAGTACAACCCGTTTGGAAATACTCGGGTATGTTAACGTAGTGTGAGCTAGATATATCTACGTGGATATTATTTGTTGATTAGTCTGTTAGACTGGCTGGTGAACTTTCCTTCCTAGTAGCAGTGTGTCAAATAAATTAAACCACTAATGATATTATGTACATAAAAAATACATCACTTGAAAAGCCTATAACTGCACACGCGAAGCTCAAATTTGCTGTCTGTTTTTCTTGACCATATTATATGAAATGAAATGAAAAGTCATTTATTCAGTCTAGGCTGTTACAAGCACTTGTGAAGGTCAAGAAGCTACGCCATCGGTTCGCAAAACTACGGCGGGAGACCTTATACTGAGAAGAAGTATAAGTTAAAAACATTGTTTTTAATTACGGATTAAAATGAAGAATGACCACCGTTTTGCTTCGCTCTTAATGGGCTAAATATCTAGCTATTTACCATCCCCTTCTAAATAAAAGAAAAATTTAATCATTTATCCTTAGAAAATATTGACAAAGTATTTTGAGCTCGAGTTCTATGATCGACTATCGCCCGAATTTTAGCAACAACAAAAAAAGCGCCTAGATATAGGGTACACCGTTACTAAGAAGGTCTATTGTAGTCGTCCATTTCAAGCACTGGGCAAAGAGGTGTGAAATTTGTATTTTGATAAATTGCGTAGATAAACAATCTATTTTGAGTATAGCGAGAAAACAGTATGTAAGGTGTTGTTCTAGTGTACTTTGATTAAATAATCAAGTTTTGACCAATCGCCTAAATTTCTCCCAAATGATGTAGATGATTACAAAATGACTGTTATACAAAAAATATACCTATATTTTTTTATTTAAGTAGCTAAACTGTCATTAGGGTAATATGAAAATATTTGGTGTTCAAAAAGTGCAGTTTAGAAATTCTAATAATTGTGATTTATAGCGCATTCGTAGACGTTATTGATGTCGTCGTTTTCTAAAAATAATAAATCTAAACTAAGAAGTTTTTTGAAAGTGGAAAATTTATGTTTGTTTTTAAATACTTTTTCGAACGTTTCGGCCTCACATATGTACCTAGTCGATATTTTCATGTTCTTAACTTGTTCGATTACTAGTGGCCCGCCCTCGCTCCGCTTCGTTGTGAAGCTGTAGTGTAGACTTTATTTTTGTTCTCAGGCTTGTATTATACTATTATACAAAGTTATTTTTTTTATATAATTATAAACTTTCCATGAAAATTTATTGAACTGATAGTGAAAAAAATTGTTGCGTAGTTTAGGACCCGTTGTACCGAAGGCACCATTTTTTTGGTTGAACGCGCAAATCTCAGGAACTAATGGCCCCATTTAAAAAAAATGTTTTTTGTTAGATAGTGAATTTATTGAGGAAGGCTTAAGGCAATATAATATTACGCTGCGACCAGTACGAACGGAGTATCGATGTAAAATGTTGCTGAAACGGGTCAAAATATTCCATTGCGTCCGCTGCGTAAATGATTAAAGTTAAACAAAAAATGTATATCGGAATTGTTCCCCTTTAAACATTCTATCAAAAAGTCCGCGACAGCATATGCCCATTTATGCCCTATTATAAGATTGACTCACTATATCCTTTTTCCTCATATTAACGCGGGTAAAACCGCAGGGGACCTTTAGTTGTGACATCACTGTAATAGTTAGACATAATGATATCGCGAACGTTTTTTGTAGATATTTATGTCCTCTATAAAACTTTAGTACATCACTTTTCTCTATTGTCAATGACTTCCGCAGCGTAAGTGATATAAGGTTATTTTTTGGTATTTTTTTCACACCCTGGGTTACATTATCGAATTTTTCATACTTAACCCTAACTTTTTTGAAAATACTCTATCTAGCTTATGTTCATCAGGGATAATGCAGGATTCTCAATGTGTAAGAATATTTCAAATCGGTCCAATAGTTTCGGAGCCTATTCAATACAAACAAAGAAACAATCAAATCTTTCCTCTTATTATATTAGTAAAGATTATATATTTATGTTATTAAGTTATATTATATTTTTATCTGTTAGTTACTTTTGATTTACCATTATGTCTATGAGTTATGATATAATCACAGTTTTATGATTTTAAATAAATAATTTCATATTCATGTATTTCGTAGCAATATACTAGCTACCCAATATTGAATAAAAACATTGTTCTAATTACTTCATTTCGTGTAGTTTTTAATTACTTCACTTCAATAAAAATATCTTTACTTACGGCCGCACTCAGTTTGTCTTACTTATTCTTTTTCGATCGCAGAAAATATGACAGCATCTACTTTCAAACTTAGAACTGAAGTGTCGATTCTGAGTTCGACATTTCTCACATTAAAACTGCTATTATTAGTTGAAGTAAAATTCACATAAACCTAAACTTAAATGAACTCCGTTTATCTCAAACAGCTGTAATTGGTGCCATAGTATAAAAATCGCGTAAGTAATTATTGTAGACATTGTAGTGCATTAATTGATCTTTTTTTTTTCTTTTTTATGTATTTGATACTATAGTTCTTAAGATTAACCAGTTAACAAAATCTAGCGGTTGCTTAATGTTTGTATTTCATTTGTTAAATGTTCAAATAACGGTATCTGGACAACGCTTTTGTCCGCACAATGTAACGTGTATTTCGTATGTTTAAATGAATATGACTATTGAATGTGCAATTTAATTCGTACAAAACTGCTTTATTTATATAAGTAATACTGAAAATGTATTTGTAAGTTTAAAATCATAATGCATTTAAAATGTTTACCTATTTTTTCTAAGGTACTGATATACTGTGTTTATGTGTCACAGGAGTTACATTACATAACATTTGTTACAGGAGAAGCATGCCTTTTTTTTACATTAAGTTTAAATAAGATATCTTATTAGGGAATTGTGTAACATCCGCTGCTCTAATATTTTATTCGAGAAACTTACAGTAAGTTGATGTTGATTGAGGGTAAACATTTCTGCCGTCGTTATCTGGTAAGGAATTCATGCACTGAGAGTGGCACAATAATATACCTAAGTTTTTAGTCTGTGTGAATCACAAAGGAGAATGGTAAATATTGGTCACAGCATAAAGATTGAGTGCCAGTGTGATTTCTGTAAACTAACCTGTTTGGTTGCCTGTGTATTTTGCTTCGCTTACGCGTAAGTAGGTAGTAACAGTTCCGAAGGCTAACTCTCGATACAATGTAGGTAATATTCGCCGTTCTCCTTTTCAGTAATATATAATGTGTATTGACGTGGTTTTTATTAATGTATATTCAATAAATTTGCAAATTAAGTTACTTTTTCATTTTAAACAACTCCATCATGTTTGGCTGATTAAATATTTGGGACTTGGTAAGTATAACATTTAAAATGTAGGTATCTATTTATCGACATTGAATGGATAACTACAATAGGTTTGACAATTTAATGTGTATAAAAACTTTATCATATCGTAATGCCGTACTGATGCTACGGCTTAGAGCATAAGTGAATGTGAAAAATTTTAAGGTGTTCTTCTAAAGACTGTATTAGGTAAGAACTATTCTAATACTTATATACTATAAACTCTTAAATTAACTGATCTATCGTAACTGCCATAGTTTTCTTTAAGATTTCTTGAAAAGCACTATTTTTCATATAGGTTTTTTTTTTCATATTTTTCAAACCAGTAGTTTAGCTTTTAGCGGGGCGGGGGGACCTTCTCGATCAATTATTTGCACTTCAAGGTTTACCATTTCACAAACGGTTCCCTAAATCGATACAATAACTCCTAAGTCATTTGAAAGGACCTATTCAATAAAACCTCATACGATGGGGTAGACCACGAAAAAAATTTGTGTGCGCGGACCACACATCTTATGTGAAACGTCTTTTATTAAATAACCTGACATTAGGCGGTGCATAAGGCATAGGCGAATGGAGCAGCGCACGCATCACTCAATCAAATATATATGTTACCGGCCAAACCCGATTTTAGGACAAACTAGTTTTGCCTAGGCTCAACTAGATCTTCCTATACGCGATAGGATTAACTAGTATAGCCTAGTCCAAACTAATTTGTTCTAAGCCTAGCCTAGGCCAAACTAGTTAATCCTGATATAAATACTCACACTCTAGGATAAACTAGTACGGCCTAGTCTAAACCAATTTAGCAGAGTCGAAAGTAATTGAACAAACATGTCAGGACTTGTACAGGTCGCGTCATGTCAAAAGAACGCTGGAAGAAAGTGGAGGGAGTGTTTACGCGCATGAGTACACTCGCACACATAAGTAATAGGCCTTTTGTTTTGTGAGATGCAGCTGCAACAAAAATGTTCCACAAACAGATGCCAATGATAGCAATGATACTCTGCAATTCAAGAAGGCAAGAAGGCAATGATACTCTGCAATTCTAAGTGCCACCAAAGCACACCATGTTAAATTAAATAACAATTTTAATAATTGAGATATGATTATTGCTTCTATTAAAAAAACACATATTATTTGTTATAGTATAATTGTTTGTATTACTAATTATCCATAACTTTTAAAGATGAATCATTATC